TCTCCTCCACAAACTGTTTTCAACTGCATTGGAAGAGACTCAGGGAGATTTCAGGCCATTTTCCAGACATTAGATGGTCAACCATCACCAACAGCTCTATGTGCACTAGAAATGTTGAGATTCTATTTTAAACTCTGGGGGAATTCTGCAATTAGATGTGTAGTGAGATCTGAAGCGCAAAGGCTTAATTCAGAGCACTATTAATCCCTCCTTGCACTTTTTATGTACTTATCTACAGTTCTGACACTCTATTAATTCTCAGATGAGTGAAACTAAAAYGGAATTGCCAGAGCTTCCTGGGGAAGAAACTTTAGATATGCCTGATCTAATCGAAGGCTTAATTTCCCTTTTAATATAAAAATGTATCTTTTGCTCTCTGGTAAAAAGAAAGGGCAAGTCTAGGACTGGGCAAAGGCGTCTCTCCACTATGGCACATGGGGTTCTTTGGTGGGTCTTGATTCATTTTAAATAAACAGGTAGCAGCAATGACCCTACAGGAACCCRTGCACATAAAATAACTCTCATCATATGGAAATTCAGGTCCCATAACAAGCTTCTCTTGTTTTATCAYGGCACTACGACAGAAATCAGTAAGTACACAGGTCTGTATGGCTAATTCCTCAAATACTATTTCTTAAATGATATTAAGACATACATAGCCAGTATTACTGCATAGTTTCACTATAGCMTTTAGCATCACTCCTGGTCCAAAAAAAATATCTTTGTGCAAATAGAAGCCCTAGCTTTTCCCTTTTACTAAAGCTTCACTTCCCCCTACTGCATATATGCAGCAAACAGCATTTTCACCTATCACCTCTTGCAAGATTTCTCAGCTATGATGCTAGATTAAGCACACTCCTATAAAAACTTGTACCTGTCAGCATTACTTTTCCCAAAGCGATAACAGGCAAAGGCAACATTCAAGTGACAATGCCAATCTGCCTGCGTGTCCAGCTTGCCTCCTAATTAGAGCAGACTGTATTTTACCTCACAGAACCAAAGCAAACAATAGATGAGGTTTAGTTTATAAGTTTTTATTTYATGTTGCTGTTATCAAGCTTAAGAAGAACATTAGGCAGTTTAACT